AAACCCCCCCCCCCCCCCCGGTGAAATAAGTTCGAAAAGATATATAAGTTGGCAAATTGAAACCTACTCTCAGAGATGAAATAATTTACTTTCTAAAACCTAATATCGTGCAGCCCACATATCTCAGACATAATCTTCTGCAGCACTAATGATAACATGTTGTTTGCTCTTGATTCACAAAAAATATGAGCTAAAACATTCAAAGTCTTGCAGTTACTAGCTTTAAATTTGTCGATCCATTTAGGTTGATCTCCAACCCAGAGTAGATTGTTCTCAATGTTGTCATACTTAAGGGAAGCATGTGAGGGTGACTCGCAGGTCCTATGCGCTGGAAGGTTCTGGAGTATGTCAACCTTCAACTCCTCAGGCAGCTGCTGCAACACTGAGGTATCTACTTGACTAAGAGAAGAGGGCATTATACATGCCTCTACATCAGAACAACCATTAATATTCATATTTGATTTCTCTAAACTGGAAGCAGCACCAGAGCAAGAGTCTGCAGGAGCGTTCTCCTTTATATATTGATGCACGTAATAAAAATATTAGAAGACAATTAATCAAAATCTTATCTCACTATTAGATGAATCGGGGATACTAAAAGATATTATCTCACTATAAGATGAAATACTGATACATTATATGTAATTAATCCATTCGAATACCTGACGACTTACCAAATTATCCGATGAACCAAGGCAACTAGAAGAACGTGTCTTTTCCGTACTGAGTGTACCTGCTTATGACAAGGAAGAAACCCATCATGAAAAAGGAAATATGGATGTGCATGTGTTTGTGTGTGTTTGTCCATAAAAGAACAGATTTAACAAGTTACCTTCCAAACTTTTGTGGCATATATCAGCTCTAATGTTTTTCCTTTCTGAAATAAAGTTCAATAATTCCTCATTGTAAATTTCATTTATTTCTGAAAGGAGCTCGGGAGGAAGAGAGTATAACACCCACATCAAGATCATGCATAGGAGGAAGACCAGCATCTTGTCTATTACCAACATTACTAGTAGACGGCCTAGTATTGCTTTGAACCAAAGGTCCTACTAAAAAACTTGCTAAATGGGTAGTGTCTTCATCAACACTTTGATTACCATTACCTGCAGAAAAAAGGAAGTGTTTTGTTCATGTGTAAATATAGCTACAACAAAGCTCAAGGAACTTTAAGCTGATTGAAAATAAACAATTGATAAATGGTATTCATAGCATACTGAATACGATAAAAGGAGCAAACAGTTCAGAGATGAAATAATTTACTTTCAAAAACCTAATATCGTGCAGCCCACACCTCAGATAATTCGTGCA